GAGCACCCTTTGAAGCAGATCCTGTCACAATCCCCACTCTATGGGCAAGGAAGCGGGGGTCTGAGAAGTCACTTTCCTCCAGAGCACTTACGGCAGCTTGTAATTACGCATTTATTCTCACATTGTGTCATCCATCTCTATCTCCCCTGCCGGACTAAAACTCAGGGAGAGGGTGTCTGTCTGACACCATTCACTCAGCCAATGCAGACATTCAATAGGTAGCTATCTTTTGAATGAATTAATTAAACCCCATAACTTGCCCAAGGTCTCCCAGCTGCTGAATGTCAGAGAGAGGCTAAAAACCCAGGCGAGCTGGCTCCAGATCAGCCATCATGCCATCCACCTTACAGAGAGTCCCTGCACAGGACTGCCCTGCTCCCTGACTCCAAAGCCCAGAGGACAGGGTCATAGATGCCCCAGTACAGAGATGCCCCAGTACAGCACCGCTAACACCCAAATGTTTACCTCCCAAACTCTCCTGCCCCAGTTGAATCCTCAAACCTTAGCTTGAGCTTCTTAAATAATAAAAAATAACATCACTTAATTGAACTACAGAGCATTTTCACCCACATAGCATGAGTGACTCCTGGCAAAGGCCTATGCAGTAGTGTCACTTTCCCCACAGGCTGGGGGGGGTAGAGCACCAGCTACGTGGCACACATGCCACCAGGCCCTCTCCACTGTACTCACTTAATCCTCACTGGCACCCTGCAAAGCTGTCACCAACCCCTTTCACAGACAGAAACTGGGTCTCAGAGAGTATGGAGGACAGCACTAGAGCCCTACCATCAGTCACTGAGAGCCCAGCAGTAAGCCCAGCGCACCTGCTACTGGAGATGAGAGTCCCACCAGGAAGCAAGTCCCCCTGCCCAGTGTGGGTCTCCGCTGCAGGAGACCAAAGAGTCCTGCTCAGACAGCCCAGGCCAGCCACGCCCGGGTGGTAGACATGGTTTCAGTCTGGCCCCCTGGCTCCTCTCACTACACCACCACTCAATCATTATTTGGAATTCCAAACAGGCTCCCAGACAATCAGCCTGCGGATGCCCTTGGCCATCTTCTTTGGGCATGACCACCCAGCCTTATTGAATGGGACCTCCAGACTCAGGGGACTGAGCTGGGAGAAGGCATGGCACCCCTGGGCCTCTGTAGCAGGGAACTAGGGCAGTGGACAAACTGGCCAGGAGGCAAAGGGACATGTGGAAGAAGGCAGGAAAGTGGGCTCCCATGGCCTGACAAGCAGCAGGCCAGCCCAGGGCCCTTCCCCACCTCTCCATTTTCTGGTCTCGCACCTCTCTGCACCCTGCACCCTGTACCTATAAGGGGATCTGTGGCAAGCCCAGAACATGATTGCCCAGGGTGGAAAGGAGAAGTAGTGTCCACACATACTCTTATCATACTTTCCTGAACATTCTAGTTCAAAAGATTTTTTAATTTAAAAAAATCCAACTGGCCCTGGCCAGTGTGGCTCAATTGTTGATCGTGGTCCCATACACCAAAAGGTTGCCAGTTCAATTCCCAGTCAGGGGTCATACCCAGGTTGTGGGCTGGATCCCCAGTTGGGATGCATATGCGAGGCAACTGATCGATGTTTCTCTCTCACATTGATGTTTCTCTCTCTCCCTCTCCCTTCCTCTCTCTCTAAAAATCAATAAAAACATATTTAAAAACCACATTTATAAAAAAATATCCAAATGAAAGTCAAGGTCTTTAAGTGGAAAAAAAGACAATTAATAGTGGCCATGGCTGGGTCCCTCTGAGTCTTGCAAAGAGACAAGCTTCCAGGCCTCCTCCAGCAAACCCCCAAACCTCACTTGGTATTTTAATTGTTCCATGGCAGTAAATTATTCAGCACCTTTTCTCCATCCAGCCCACCAGCCCCACAGCCCCTCTGGCTCAGGCAATGTCCTCAGCAGCTCTGGGACCTGCCTGCACAGCCTCTTCCCAGAAGTCCCTGAAGCAAACCAATGACAATTTCTTCCCATTGCAGGGACAGGCCTGGATCCAGAGTTATGGGCTATATGATCATAAAGTTGCCGGGCCTCGTGGGCTGCTGTAGAAACTTCCCAGAGGACAAATGGTGAATGCACAGCTGCAATCTATACAAATTTCACAGCCTCAGAAGAGGCTGCCGGTTCAGGCTCTGACACTGCACAACACTCATATTGATTAGAAAGAGCATTTGCCACGGTTATTTTGAGTCCACGTAGGCTCTCCCCAAGGCCTCTTCTTAGGCGTTCTTTCCTCCTCAAATGGCTCTTTCGCAGCCTGCCTGTTGAAAGGTGGGCTCCCTCTGCTTTCTACATCCTTTCCCAGCCTGAGAAGCTTTACACAGCAAAGATCAGACCTCACCCTACGATAACTCACCTCTGTATGCGAACCCTGAAGTCCCCAAAGGAAAAATCCACATACAGAAAGGCCTTTTTGACTCTTCTCAACCTTCCCAGCCTCAAGTGCCATTGCATCCCACTGGACACAGCATGTTTCAGCCCCAGAGCAAAGCTGGTCCGTGTGCCCAGCCGGCCAGGCTCACTCACACCTGCAGGCCTTTGCTCATGCGTTTCCTCTCTCTGGCTGCCCACCCTCTCTGCTTGACAAAATCAACCCAACCACTGCCAAGTGCCCTGATAAAATGACCTATGCTCTGAGAAGTGCCTTTACCCCAGAGAAGGGCTTCTCACTTCAATGCCCCCGGCGACAGCCCCACCACGCTGTGCACCTGGCCTTCTCCCAAAAGCTTACAGTTAGATGTCTCCCTGCCTGGTACTCTTGACTATGCATCCCTGAGGGCTTGCCACAGATCTCCTTATAGGTACAGGGTACAGGGTGCAGAGAGGGGCGAGACCAGAGTATGGAGAGGTGGGGAAGGGCTCACTACTAGCTGGAACTTCAGTACCCAAGGCAGTTCCTGGCTCTGTAAACATTTGCTGAATTGATCCTATCATAACAACAGCCCTCTCTGAGCAAGCATCGTAATGTACCAGGCACTTCCACACATTACCTTCAGTCATCACAAGAACCAGAGACCTTATGTATCTGCAGCTCCATTTTCCAATTAAAGCTCAGAGAAGTTAAGTAACTTGGGCAAGGTCACACAGCAAATAACTGACTGAGCTAGAACTCCAACCTAGGAAGTTGGAGCCCCGACTCTTTCCTCTGCACTAGGAAATTTAACATCTCTTTTAATCATAAAAGAGCTCAAGAGTTCATGAAAGTCAAATCAGACACTCTCCTCAAAACTAAAGATGAAGAGAGAGCAAGGAGTGAGATGATTTCAAGATTCAAATCCAAAAGCAGAGAGGCTAATGTGTCTCAGACATAGTCTGCTACCAGGGTAACAGTTGCAGGAGAAATGCCCTGTTGACACCACCAAGGAACAGAGAGTAGGTCCAGAGGGAAGAGGTGTGGAGGGTGACCCTGCAACCTCAGGGGTCCTCTGGACAGATTTCTGATCCTCAGTCCCTCCCCAGGGCCACACAAGATAGTGCACGGTTGCCCCAAGCAAACTTGGTTTGGTCCAACCTCTCCCCACGCCAGCATCTTTCCCCAGACTCACACACATGCCCTCACACACCTTTATTCCATCTAGATTGCATCTGGATTGCAAATCCTCTCAAACCTCCACGGGAATTTTTCAGCTCAGTCAAGAAGAGTCTGGGGCAAAGTGTCCTCACTAATTGCTGACCTTGATACAGACTTTGATCCAGAAGACAGCAGTCCCCAGGGTCAGGTTTCTGCCTCTGACCAGCTGGGAGCCATAAAAAATGTGATCAAAAGTTATCGAAATACATATGCCTTTCCTGAGAGCCACTGCAGTTGCCCAGGAGTGTGGGAAGAAGCAGCAGGCAGGTTTCAAAGGGGGCAGCAGCCATCTCCAAAGTCCAGTTCAAAAATCTCTCGAGGCCAAAGCCGTCACCTCTGCAAGCAGCACAAAGGCCCTCCATGCGATCAAAATCTACACACACGGCCATGTACAAGGACTCTTGCACTGAGGTGAGGTGACACCACTACACTAGGAATTCACACAGACACTCATTCTGCAGAGAATCTGGGAAAACAAATTATATAGGTTTGTAAACACACACACATGCTAACCATCCACAAACATGCACATACACACACATACCCTGCAAATCTCAGCGGGTCTAGAAAGGGCTGAGTTTCCTCAAGAATTCAGAAGTGAGAGAGATGGGAAGAGAAATGGTGTTTTTGTGACTTGTCATGGTCAATGTCTTTAACCTCATGTCTCCCACTCCAAGCTCCTGACCTCTCAGCATTATTCACAGGGCTCTCGATCCAGGTTGCACCTATCCCTCTCTGGGTGCTGAATGTAACATACCCTAAGCCCCAAACCCAAATCCCTCAGATCCCATTGTCTGCCAGGGTTGGGGGTGGCTAGATGTGAGGTGAGGGGCCAGTGCCAGACACCTACAAGGGAAGAGTTCTTAAGGTTCTGGGTCAAACAATGGGGAAGAAGGGAAAGAAATTTCAACTCCATCCCATCTTGCCCCCCAGCACCAGCCTGCAGGCCCTCAGAGCCCATATCCCCACACCCCACTCAGAACATAGCCCGAGCCCCAGGTGCCCAAAAGGAAACATGGTTCCTGGCAAGCATGAGGAGCTGCCCTCCTGGGTGCCAGGAAGGCTTTCTGGCACCAATTCGCAGGCACCCTGGAGGAATAAGGTGCTGGCACAGCGGGGAGGGCCTGCCAGTGCTGAGCGCAGGGTGCAGGTGTGAGCATGGGACTGACAGCCCCGCTGAGAGCCCTTTGGATCCCGGGAAAGGAGAACAGTGGTGCTCCTGGCTCCTGGCCCCTGGCCCCTGGCCCCTGGCTCCTGGCCCCTGGCCCCTGGCTGGAGAAGGACCCTGGCAGGCACTGACTCGTCTACTGGCTGCGGAGCAGGGCCCCAACCGTCCTGCCCGTACCCACAGCCCTGAATTTTGTCGGAGTGGGAGGGCAGCCTCGGGGCTCCCTGCGGCTAGGGACGGGGGCAATACTCACAGGCGTTCGGTGTTCCGTGGGATGTTCTTGGGGACAGCCTGCAGCCCGGTGCCGTGACAATCCACCGTGGTGCCCGAGCAGGTGCAGAGGGCGGGGCACGCCGTGGCCCCCAGGCGCCACGCGGCTGCCCACAGCAGCAGCCAGAGCTGGGGACGGGCGAGCCCCGCCGGGGTCCCGCTCCGCGGCGTCAGCGCCATGGTGCCCTCACTGCGTCCCTCGGGCGCGCCAGACGACGGCGGCCACTGACCATCCCCGTCCGGGCGGCTCCAGGTGCAGTCCCGGGGCACAGCCGCCGAAGGGACAGCTG